AGACAGCAGTTTTAACCAGGGAGGAAGTGGGCACAAGTGTTTTGTACCTGCTGGAGCCCATGCATAGTCTTCATCTTCATCTTCAAAGTCAGTGAACAACTATAATCCACCTTGGAGGTAGCAAATATGTGGAACCCAATGGCTGTGTCCTCATTTGAGAGGAAGTTGCCGAGTTTACCGTTCGGGGGATGTAAAAGAAAGACATATTTAGAGATCGACTCTCTCCCATCCTCTCAACTTGGTAAGGAGTCAAACAAGACCCCAAGGTCTTGCACCATTTCACTAGCATTTTTTACTCACTTAACACAGATACTTGCACGAGTATCACATCACTGACAGCACTGACAAGAATTAGATCCAGTCTATCATATATCCTTATTACATAGATTTCTATATAATGCTACAATTAATATTGCAAATATAAAAATCTAAGTGAAAGGAGTTGGAAGGATGAGGTAAAACATTGTTTTAATTTATGAGTATAATTTGATATTTTTCCAGTGAAAATTGTGTCAAAACAGATGTTACTGTGATTTTTATTTATTGATTTAGTTTAATGACGCTGTGTTTTCCGAAGGAAAAAAACCTTCCATTGACAATTTTTCTGCTCTCCTATTTAGACTGTAAACACTTTGAAATGGAAACTCTCTTTCACTGTGCCTGTACAGCATGGAGCACCAAAGGGCCCAAGCATCTCTTTGCCCTAATAAAAATAAATCATTGCACAACAGAATGGCTGGGATGACCATTTCAGGACACAGGCAATTTCATCCGCTTGTCCGAAGCCAGATTATTACATTCCTCAGCTCCTGTTTGACTACCAAAGTACATGGCATATTATGCCCGAAAGGCTCAGCTTGTTGGATGCCATACTCCTTTTAAAATTGACCCACCAGGGTCCCAATGGAAGCTACCATGCACAAAGTACTTTGGAATATCTGACAGCCTTTGGAGTCAGGACTCGTGGAAGAGGTGATATCTTTTATTCAACCAACTAGATTTTTGCGCAAAAAATATAAAAATCTTTAATTACAAGCTTTTGGGCACAAACACCCTTCTTCAGGCATAGAAGAAAAGATGATAAAAGTTCTCCTATTGTAAAAGTTTATTTCTACCCAGGAAAACTTTTATAATCTTTTCTCCTATGCCTGAAGAAGAGTGTTTGTGCCTGAAAGTTTGCAATTAAAGCCATTTTTATTTTTTTTTTTGCAAAAATCTAGTTGGTTTAATAAAAGATAGCACCTCTACCATGAGTCCTGATTCCTTTTGCCTCTAGACCAATATAGATACAACCTGGATACCTGACCCCTTTGGCTGTGCTTTAATGGAAGTCAAAAATCTTTGCAAAATACTGTGTCTAAACATGTCCTAGCTCTCTAATGTCTAGGCTGTGACTCGTTTGTCCGTAGAGGCTATCTGGAGTCAGCCCTAAGCATCGCTGTTTTATCATCATTATTTGCATTACCATCCGGCCTAACGATGCCAACCATCAGTGTGGTTCCATTGTGCTGGGTGATGTAGAAACACAGGAGACAATCCTTGCTCTGGATAGTTTGCAACCTGGGCACACAAGTCAGATCAAAAGCGGGAGAAAAAGAGCATCATGACCTACATCCTACAAGAGATGAATCGACTGGCCCAAGGATTCCTAGAAAGTCTTTTGCCAAGCTTGGAGCTGGACCTGGATGTCCAGATCCACTAGCAGAAATATAAACCTTCCCTTTAACTTCCCCAGATATACTGCAAATCTCTCCCAATGGCCTATAACAGTGCTGCCAATCAGAGCAGACAAGACCAAACAGACCTTTAAGGTTTATTTTCAAATGCTTGCAAAAGTCATTTCAGGGAGATATTCTTGCATGCCACATGCATGTGTTATGAAGCTGGAAAAGGTGATATAAACCAAAATAAAAGACAATACCCTGAGGGTTACCAATGCTGGACTCACGCTCAGTCAGGTTCACGCTCATATACGTCACTGCCTTCTCAGTGTACATCCCCCACCTTGACTCTGGACTATTTTTTTGGCCAAGTCCTTGACCCCAGGTGACCCAGCTCCTTCTACCGCTTGGCCAATGCCATGCAGAGGAACAGAAGAGGGAAGATGATATCCCGCTACATGTTTCTCATAGTTGAAAATAGGGAGAGTAATTACTGAGGATGGACCAAGAGTAATGAGATGGAAAGTTTAGACTGAGAGTTCAGATAAAATTACTAACAATACTTTCTTTTAGACAGAGAGATGTATTAAGTCTCAATTACTGACATTGTGATCTATTAGTTCTAAAGTTACTGACAGCAATACATCTCTTGGGGTTGCCAAATCATCTCTCAAAGAAACTGGTGAAATCCTGATCCCAAGGGACATTTAAAACTGAATTGGACTAACTACTAGGAAGCATAGTACAGGAGCTAATCACATGTTGGTGGGAGGGAGGAGGAGAAACAGATGAGATGGGCAGCTTACATATAATTCATAAGTTATTTTTCACTGGACCATTATATCCAATAAAAACTACATTTTGCCAGGGGCCTGGGCCAAATCTGCTGACATATCCAAGTGATTTAGAAGTGCAAGCCCTATTTACAAAAGTAACTTGGATGTCTGGGGCCCTGAAAGGTTTTCATAGGAGAACTGTGCCCCTAAGGCCAAGATCTTTTGAGCATTTTTTGCCATTGATATGGGCCCAAGATGCTTTTCAAAACCAAAAATCTGTAAGTTACTTCACTGTTTGAAAAAAAAAAAATCACCCAAAAAAGACAACCCTGACAACATATAAAGAAGATGAGTTAACTTATGTCACCACCAAATGTAAAAATCTTACAGGCAAGCAAGCATCCTACTCTGAATGTTCATGTAACTGCCATGAGCCTGAATGCTATAGAAATCCAGCACATCAAGGGTATTATTGCAATTTGCATAAGTAGAAAATACAGCGATTAAAAGTTATCAAAGAAAGCTATCGCTCAGTTGTCAGCTCCACAAGCAGATTCCAGTGATGTCTTTCCAGCTACTTCATAATAATCTCCATAAGTTCTTGCTAAGGGCTGCATTGAAGTAACCTGTCATTTACTCTGTCTTTCACCAATTCATCTCAAAGAGATGCACCAGCTGTGATCACTTGGAGTCGGAGCGACAGCGTTTCAAGGCATTGCTACAGATGCAGCCAGAATGTACAATGCAGAGACACTCAGAGCCCTAGGAGAGCCGTGGAAAGGCTGAATCTGTCCTGCCCACGCCCTCTTACTGGCGCTGCAGGGAAATAAGAATCAAAATATAGGAACTCATGCTCTCATTTACTTTTCATATGCAAAGCAGAGATATGTATCACAACTGCTAGGGATGGATCAATATTGTGCATACTTCTCTTTTCCTCTTTGTCCAAATAGCAACTGCCTATGTGGCCCGGCTCTTTTCCTTTCTCATTGCTGATTATGCTAAACACTGACCTGGGAATAAATCCAGTAACAAGCCAGCGGAAAAAAAGCAAGGAGTCAGAACTCCTGGTTGATATTGGCAGCTCTGATACTTTTCTGTTTTGTGAGCAAGTCACTTAATCCTTCTGTGCTTCATTTCCCCAATGGTAAAGTGGCGATTATACCCATCTCAACCAGGCATTAAGAAGCTCAGTTAATCAACCCCTGAAAAGTGCTTTGAAATCTATGGATGAAAGGCACCGTGGAGGTGAGATATAGCTGAACAATTACTGCTGCAGGTAGACTGCCACCAGCTAGGGAGGAGAATGAGAATGCAGCACCGGGGTCCCTCTCATGTATCTATTTCTTCATCCCAGTTGCCCTCTCTTGACACCCATGCTCCCAGATAGCTGAACTCTTATGCCCCACTAGATATTAGCTTTCTGATTTCATGATGGAAACATCTAACAAGCAGCGACTCCAAAGCCAAAATCCGCACCGGTGTCTGTGGGTGCAACTCTATAGCAATAAGTGGAATGGGAGTGTCTAGTTCCAGACTAAATGCTGCCTTCCATGTCTGCCAAACCAAACTCTCTCTGCCTCCTTCTGTTATATTATTAATACCATTAATTTAATAAAAAACTAGGAAAGATGGACTGGAAGGGCCCTTAGGAAGTCTAATCCATCCACTTGCTCAAGCCCAGCTCGTTCCTGACTAAATGGTCCCAGTCAAGTTTGTCTAACCTATTCTTCAAAATTTTGTGAACAGCTCTCTTGCACAACAGACTCTTGCACGCCCTCTTGCACAGCTTCCAGACATCATGCCCAAAACTTCCAGACATCATGCCCAAAACATCAAAACTGCTCTTTTTGAGACCACAGGGGGACGAGGGCACTGTCAGGAAGTTGTTTGTTAAAATATGCATGTTCAAGCTACCAACAGTATGTAAGTGGGTTACGCCTGGAAGTGTTGCATCTCGGTTACTTGAGTGAACTGTAAGAAGCAAACCAACAGCAAAGGAAGTAGAAGAAAAGCACACGTGTCTGCGGTGTAGCACAATGGTGATGTGAGACTACTGATTGCTGTGATATTTGAGTGAACCTCCAGACACTTTCCCCAGCCCCTTGGAAATGGCAAATTTTTAATTCAGCTCTGTATCCAAACCTCCGTCTCAGGTGCTTATTAGGCTTCAGATATTGCCTTCCAAGCCTTAAAACATATATCCTCTGAAACCTTATGACTTATGGAAGTGCTACCGTCTCTTCCTTACACGGGGAGGACCGGATCACAGAACGAGTTATGGATGCGCCTAGAGTACAAAGGAAGTCTATGGCAGAGCAGAGATCTAAATCCAAGTCTCTGGGCTGGAGACTCAGGCTAAAGGCCTAGCTGCTCTACCATTCTCCTCCTTACATGCAACTTCTGTGAGATCTCTAGCATAAATATAGACTGATGAATATTCACAAGTCCCTTTCTCAGCAAAAGAAATGTATTTAATCCACGGTTTTACTAGTCTAAAACTCTAGAGAACGATTCATGGGCTTTTCTAAGCTTTGATTTTTCTTCTGTGTTTTGGTTTCAGCTTGAACAAACATCAAGTTTCAAAAGAAAAAACTCAGCCATAACTGTGCAAATCTGGCTGCCTTCACAACAAAATCCATGTGGGACTGCACGGAGGTCCAGAGTTAGACCAAGGCAAGCTCGTTGGTAAACCTGGCAGAGGGACTGGATTCTCAGCAAAACCCCAAACTCGACTGGCCTCTACTATCATTTTGAAAGCTTCACAGGGCTCTGATATTTACTCTGGCTCCCATAGCTGTTGTGTCCAAACCTCAGAGGTGGTCCCAAACCACTCAGCTTGGATTTCGATCAAAATCCAAGTTTCCTCCAATGTATGGATCCAGGATTTCCACTTGGCCCCTCTCAGAGATAAAGTTATCCAAGCAGTGTGGAACTGGATTCAAGACAAAAGTTCCCATCATTCAAGAGTGGATTTGAATTGGATTTCTCTTGTTTTTGTCCATTCCCATCACTCACAGAGGTTTCAGTGTTAGTATTACAGTAGTGCTGAAAAGTCCTGTAGTGCTGGGCATTAAGAGACAATCCTTGATCCTAAACATTTACAACCTATAGAGATTAGCCAGATGCAAGTAGCTGATTTCCTACTTTGCCAATGGATTAAGTTGCTTTTAGTGTCACGCAGGCAATATATTGCAGACATGGGAACTGAACCCAAGGCTATGCCTACATCACAGCACAGCCTCCTCACTGAGCCATTATGTTCCCAGTCATTCCTAATTTCCTCACCTCATCCCTGAAAATGAGGCAATGGGAGATGCCCCTAAACTAAAGTCAGAAACCTAAGTCTTAACCATTTTGCCAGGAAGTCCCAAGTGCCTCCTGTTTGAGGTCGCCATGAACAAAAAGAGAGCAAGGGGTAGGGGTTATTGCAAGACTGAGCCATGTGGCTGCGGTATAGACGCACTCAAAGCGTCCCGAGTCCCTGTGCCACGCTTTAACCACTGGAGGTAAGGAGGGGAGATGATATTGGAAATGGGGATTTAGCTCTTAGCCACTCGTGGGAAACAGAGCAAAGGATTTTTTTTCTGGATGGAGACCCCTTAAGGGGAGGCCATCGTTTCTGTTAGAGACACATAATGCACCCTGGGCAATGTTTTCAATTGCAGCACGTATGGAAGCCAAATTCCTAAAGGCCTCCCTGAATTTAAAGACTAGACGTTTTCAGGGATTCAAGATCATGACCCCATTTTTGCAAGACTGTTTTGCTTGCAACAGCACACTTGGCCACACGTGGCGTGTCACTGAGCACTTTGGAGAGCGCTGGGCACTTGTACCGTGATTAGCAATTTCCACTGGTATCTCCTTCTAGTGGCTCTGGCTTGATTTGACCTTGTCTCAGGTAAATAAAGGGAGCAGAGTGGAGATGGCCTTTGCCCCACTAATTAATCACTTGCTTCTGTTAACTATTCCTCTGTCAACGTTATTAAGTGACAGCCTCCCAGGGTAAATAGGGTGCTGTGTAAAGAAGCTTAGAATGCCATCTGTCCTTACCTTGCTACGACTCCTTTGCCCTTTGGCGCTGATCCCTTAGTCTTATTGCTTTTTTTTCCAGAGAGAGATTTGTATTTAATATTATTGTAATACACAGCTGGCCAATTCTGCCTGGGAAAGGAAAATGTTTAAAGGCTCTTTCGGAGCTCGCAAACTGAGCACACGGTAAGCGTCCCCCTGTTTATCTTATGGTGATCAGCTCAGAGCAGCTGGGAAAAAATTGTGGAATATACAGAGCAATTAGTTCATGGCTGCTTGAATATTAGAGGGAATAGTTTACTCATACAAGCCCTTACTAGTAGGTATTACAGTGGATGATAAAAAAAAAAAAAAATCCTTCCAAAAACAGGCCCTGGGAATAACCAACTGCGTGTTCCCACCTGGTACTGCTGCTTCTGGTACAGACTAGTTTATCGCCCAGTTCCTGTCCCATTCTGTTTTCCCTGTGTGCAAAGAGCTCACAAAACCATTTGCTCTAGGTGACGTTTAGCTTAGCTAAAAAGAATAAGAAAGGAAAAAGAAGGAAAACCAGATAAAATGGCTCACTGAGATCAAGATCCAGGTGAGAGAACAGGATGGCGTGTGAAGAAGTTGCTGCTCTAGCTGCACAGGGGAGGAAGGTTCTGCTCTTCATTGTGGATTTGATGCTTATTCATACTTACAAATAAAAATTGAGGCCAGGGACTGATACAGTAAACACCTTGCTCCACCTGTTGTTCTACTGACTGCTGCAGCAGCACATGAGGATTCAGGGGCTCTTCGGTGAGAATTAAGGATGTCTCGGTCTCATCCTTCCTTAGGATTTGTACTGCCTTTTCCCATTTTATCCCTCTTCATGCCCCAGAACCTCCTGACCCCTTGTCTGCACTCTTACTAGAATAACCATGTCCCCTTCTGAGCAGGTGAAGCTAATCAGGCCATCCCCATCCCACTGTAAGCAAGCTGCATACTAAGACTTCTTAGGAGTCCCTGCAGTTAAAAGCTTGTAGCGGTTACAGATGGGCTCTAGGCCTGTGTAACATAGAGCACATGCCCAACAGTTGGTGCTCAGGACTGTGCAGCATCATTTTCAGGGTGTGGTAGATGACTTATAGGTCCTTTAGTAATGTATGGTTAGAGGGGACCTCATGAGGCTATCTAGTCCTTCCCCTGCTCCAAGCAGGATCATCTCCCACTAAACCATCCCAGCAAGGGCCTGGTCAACCTGCTCTTGAAAATCTCCAAGCATGGAGATTTCACAACTTCTCTAGGTGGCCTGTTCCAATGCCTGACCGCTCTCATAGCCAGAACGTTCCTCCTAATCTCCAGCCTAACTTTTCCTGCTGCAGTTTGAGGCTTTTGCTCCTAGTCCTGTCCCCTATGGCTACAAAGGAAAGTCCCTCTCTGTAATCACCTTTCAAGGTATGCAAAGACAGTTATCAAACCCTCCCTCCATCTTCTCATTTCTGGTCTAAATCATCCTAATTCTTTTGGCCTTTCTTCATAGCCTTACTAACGTCAAGGTATACCACGGCCACTGCTCTCCCACATCCACAGAGCCTAATCCTTTATCATAGGAGGCAATCAGATTGGTCAGACATGACTTGCTCTTGGTACGTCCATACTGACTCTTCCTGATCACATTGTTTTCTTTTAAGTGCTTCACAGTGGAGTCCTTCAGGATCTGTTCCATGATCTTTCCAGGTACAGAGGTCAGGCTGACTGGTCTGTGGCTCCACTATAGCCTCCTTCTTCCCCTTAGTTGTGTCTGCACTGCAAACTGATAGGTATTGGCACTCTGTAACATGTGCTGGTCCCAGAGGTGGGGGTCGCAATGCTTTTGCATTGCCACTCAGCCCTTGCCATCTTGTGACTCTCCTTGGGCAGTCTCTCCTTCACTCATGCCCTGCCTTGATGTTATCAACTTTCAGAGAAACAGAAGCTTCCCCAGGGCTTCCCAAGCCTAGTCTCACTCTAATAACCACAATGTGCCCATGGTCATTGCCTTAAGGGCCAATTGCGTGGGCTCCATCCTTCTCAATACCCATTCCCATGCCTCACAGATGATCTGCTAACACATGCTTTTCCCAGAGTACAGGCTCCCAGCCCCAGCCCTTGCCTTTCTTGGGGTACAGGCTCATTGGCCCCCTTGGTCTCCACCTGTAGTCCCTGACCCTGCTCCTAGGCCAGTTGAGATTTCTGGGTTTCCTGGCCCCAGCAGCCTCCGGCTGTGATCCCTGACCTTCAGTCTCCCTAGACCCTGGTCCCACTCTTACACCAGCTGAGACCTTTGGGCTCTTGGGTCCTGCTGACACCTGCCCCTCCTGGGCTCTGACCTCAGGCCTCCTGGCCTCAACCCTCTTGGGCTACAGGCTCCCAGCCCCAGGCCTCATTCCTCTTGGGCTATGGGCTCCTTGGCCCTTGCAGTCCCTGGCTGTGACTGCTGGTCTTTGGCCCCTCTCTAGGCCCTTGCCAGGTGAAACTCCTGGGTTCCTCCAGCCTTGTCAGTTTTTAGCTGTGGCCCTTTGCTCAACCTCCAGCAGATCTCCTGGGCCAGTGAGACCTTCAGGCTCCCAGGCCTGGCTGAAAACCACCCCTCCTGGGCTACCAACCTGTGGGCCCTCTGGCTGTCTGCCCCTCTATGGGCTATGGCCTTACTCCCAAACTTTGCTCACCCACTCCTGTTCCCAGGCTCTGTGCTACTTACTCCAGCTCATCTGTCCTGCTAGGAGCCCTACTACCAAGAGCTCCTCTCTCCTTGGCTCCTAGGACTCAGCTACCTACCAGCTCAGGATCTGGGCTTATATGACTCAAGTCCAGCCCCCTTCTGATCACGTGACTCTCTATAATTGGCCCCTGCCACACTTGCAGGCTGCTCTTCCCACAGCCTTTCTTCATAAAGTGACAGGCATACTAAGTGCACACCAAATGTGTTGCTCTACTGCATATGGGCCGCATCCCCTGCCAGAAGGAAGGCAATCAGGCAACATTGGAGATAGGCTAATTAGCACTGCCAGGGGCAGCAGTGCTAATTAGCCTGCCCCCAGTGCCATACAAATGTGGTTACATCCCTTCTGATTTGAGCATTAGCCCATGTGAGATACACAGCTTGTTTGTAGGCACCGCTGTTGTGTGCAGCTACTTCCATGTAGCACTTCACACAACCATCCATGGCCTTCCAGCGCTGATCCTTTTTCTAGCACCGGGGCTACAATGGACGTATTTGCAGGGCTAATCAAGCACAAACTATCAATAACTGCAGAAGATGCAAAAATGTTTTGACACAATGCGATGCAACGGGCATTACAAACCTTATGGGGTATCTCTGCGAACTTGACACCAGCTCTACTCAGCACATAAGGAAGGAAAGCATTTTGCCACATAGCAAAATTGTGTTTAAAGTTATCTAGCAAGGCGGGGGGCAAGGGGGGGCTCTCATACTGTCATATAATTGGAGCTCCCAGGTGCAAGTGCATACAATTAACACATTAACACAAGTAATAAAAAAGGCTAAATCCTTAAACACCTTCAACATCTGCTGATTGCAGGGGGAAACAGGAGGCTTAGCAACTTATAGGGCCTTGTGTCTTTTAAGATGACATTACAAGTAATGGAAGGTAAGAAACTTCATAGCCTCAAACTATTATTTGCCTGGGTGATTTTTATAGTTTTTAGGTCCAGTATCCCGGCTAAATGACTGCTGGGCAATTACATGCTGCCCACCAAAATTCTCCAGGTTGGATAAATTATTTATCACTTTTTTTTGTCTTGACCTATCCATTAGTGTAACTGCACTGTTTAAAGCAGGGGAAGTGCAATGCAGGAAGAGTGGCTTTCTTTCACTGATGGATGAAATGATCCCTGGATAAAATAAGGCCGAATCAATGGAGCTGTGCTAGCGCAACTGAAGATATGGCCAGGTTAATAAGGCCATATCCTGCTCTCTGTTACACATGTGTAAATCCTGCCCTCAAGATATACCTTGATGTGCCAGGGAGCAGAACCTAGCCCACTGCTTGTAATCAGTTTGTACAATTTGTCAGGTGCGGTGGGATTTGGAGGGTGAAAGGTGGTATGTAAATGTCAGTCACCATTTATTAGCCCTGGCTTAAGTGCATTATGGCAGCCTCCTGCCTGAGCGGCACTGCTTGCCAGAGACACTTCAGCAGG